CCATTGCTATTAGGTTGGAGGCCATTGCTATTAGGTTGGAGGCCATTGCTATTAGGTTGGAGGCCATCGCTATTAGGTTGGAGGCCATTGCTATTAGGTTGGAGGCCATCGCTATTAGGTTGGAGGCCATCGCTATTAGGTTGGAGGCCATTGCTATTAGGTTGGAGGCTGGAGGCCATTGCCATTGTTATTAATGCTGGCTTTTGCAGAAGTCACAGCTATGTCGTGGGTGTGTGTGTCTTTTTAGACCTCAATGCTGCTTTCTACAGTGTGCTGAGGCAGAGTCTGTTTGGGGAGGTCCAGATGGACAACTCGTTGGTCAACTTTCTTAGTCACGCGGGCATCACACCAGAGGAGCTTGATGAGTGAGGCAACAAGCTGGCAAAGACTATGTCCTGGCCTCGCAAAGCCAGCAAATCCAGGGCATGACCCGTGACGCATTTCGACTTGCCCATTTCAAAATGAGGGGGTTGCCTGATGCCGCCCTCACGCAGCGAGGTACCAGGCCAGGTGACCCTGTAGGGGATGTTTGCTTCAATCTGGTCATTCAGGTACCGGACCCAATTGTCCAAGATGGGATTCCACTCTCTGTCCCATGGATGTGGGGCCCCGGGTAGCAGCGACCCCCCCTGAGTGTAGATGTCTAGATGTCTCATTCTTTGATAATATTGCCATCTGTGTCCTGCACCCTGATGCCAATGCTGTGGTCCAAGCTTCCACGCAGCTTATTGGTGTGCTTGCTCATGCCTGCCGTAAGCGTGGATTAAGGGTGAACTTCAAGCCTGACAAAACTGAGATTCTTTTGTCGCTTCGAGGGCCCGGTTCTCGCCAGCTGAAGCAGCAAATACACCTCCAGCAGCACAGCACGTTGCCGATAGTGCTGGAGCACGGTGTCGAAGCAGTTCGAGTTGTGCATTCGTACAAGCATCTTGGTTCCTATGTACAGTCTGATGCCACTTCGGCCAGAGATACTAGGTACCAAATAGCGCACGCACGTAAGGCATGGGGACCACTTATCCGTCCGCTCTGGACATCAAAGTGGGTTAGCTCACGTAACAACGACATGATTTTCGCAGTTTGGTTTCGTCAAGATTGCTGTACCAGGTATACACCTGGTCATGGGTTCCAGAGAGCTCGACGGACTGCAAAATACCTTTCGTGACATTAACCCCAATTGTGCGTCCGCACCTGATGCAGTTAAAAGCCTACCTGTTCACGGTTTGTAAACTTGCGGGATTCCTTCAAATTTTGGATCCTGAGACACAAGTGAAGTTCAACCGGCTCAAATTCCTTGCCAGGGCAATAGAGCACATCCCAGAAGGAATTTGGCATCTCATTGGCACAAATGAACACGCCAATGCTTGGGTCACGTTGTGTCGCGGGACTGCATTTGGCTGCGGGGGTATTTTCCCAAAAGGCAGGTGGCCAGAGGAAAGTGCCACGTTCGCTGAATGGCGACTCTTTATCAGCCAGTGCCCCGATTGGAAGACTCGGGTAAAGCTTGGAGAAAAGGCCGCGGCTCTGTTCTTTCAGCGAAACCCCTTTCCAAAAGCTGGGCACTCTTGATGGATCGCCAAGACGCTGATCATGGCGTCCACTTCGGCCCCGCTGCATTGCAAAGCCCCAGGCTTTCGTGTGTGATCCATGCTCAAGGTCCTTTCCCTCCAAGAGAGGATTGTACATGCATTCCACGCACGTCCATGGGTATATGGGAGTGTTTGCCTTGCTTGTTCCAAAGAATACCATGTCCGGCATAGACTGATGCAGCATTTGCGTTACTCAGACAGGTGCCTGAGTCATCTAGTTGATACTTTCCCACCTCTGAGTACTGAGGAGGTTGATGCTTTAGATGAACAAGATCGGGTCTTCACGGTGGAACAAAGAGCACTGGGATGGGGACCAAAGAAAGCCCTCCTCCTTGCAGTTCGTGTCCTAGTTTGCCCCCATTGGGGAGTGCAGAGAGTGCAGTCCAAGCTTGTCACTCGTCAGCAGATCCGAACCTTTGGGCGCCTCGGCCCGAAGGCCGGCTAGTCGCCCGAAGGGCTTCGGTTGCTCCGGAACTCCCGCCTAAGGGCCTTTTCAGAATCTGACCATGTCAATCACAGCATGGGCTCAGTCAAAGGCCCAGTCGGCATCTATGAGTTCGACTCAGTATTTGTGTGGGATGCAAGAGTCTCGGTGATTTCGGTCGTTTTTGTGCACCTTTTCTCCGGGTTTAGACGTCCCGGGGACAGATGGTGTGCATCGCAATGGGGGGATGGGTTTTTGGACCACCCGCGTACGCCTACATGGCTGTATTATACGCCTTGCCCCTCGATATGGAGATTGCTCATGATCAAAGAGCTAGCATCCCTCCGAGCAGTGTCAGCCATTGCCTTTGATCAGTGCATCTTTGATGCACCGGCCTTGAAACCCACAACATGTTTGCTAGCACGTTTGCCACACTTTCGTGTTCTTACGCTCGAGAGTGGTTGTGGGGGCCGCTGCCCTCATGGCCCCGGTGCGCATGCAGGATGGTCGCGTCAGGCCAATGGCAGGCTCGGTTGGAGGCCATCACTAGTAGGTTGGAGGCCATGGCTACTAAATTCGAGGCCATCGCTAGTAGGTTGGAGGCCATCGCTATTACGTTGGAGGCCATCGGTTTGGAGGCCACTGCTAGTAGGGTTGCCATCGCTACTAGGTTAGTAGGTTGGAAGCCATCGCTAGTAGGTTGGAAGCCATCCTTGTAGGTTGGAGGCCATCGCTAGTATAGGGTGAAGGCCATCGCTACTAGGTCGCTACTAGGTTGGAGGGCATCGCAAGTAGGTTGGAGGCCATCGCTAGTAGGTTATCGCTAGTAGG